CTCACAGTGGGTCGTTAAGCACTGAGCATTAACTTCACACATGTGGCAGTCATTACATCTTGGCACGATCCAATTTCTAGCTGCTCACATCTGCATTTGTGCTGATTTATGCATGGTCAGAAGTCTATCTCTGTTAAAATCCCACACTCAATATAACAGAGAGAAAACAACAAATGTATTCCCCAAGGAATTAAAATTCCAATTCAGCTGATAACTCACCATCTGATCAGGGTAATTTGACCCTTATCACTCTTTGTCACCTCCATCTCTCACTTACAAAAATGGAGGAACTGAAACCACTAACCTGAGAGGAGTTTTTTAAAAAGGAAAAATATGAGTTATTTGTAACACAGTTTATACAACTATCCAACATTTCTGATTCTACATTAAGGTACCAGATAAGCATTTAATTAATTACCTGTCATATAATTGATTTCTAAGGGTTGGAGTATTGTTTCATTGTTCCTATTTGTATTCAGTATTATCTCTGCAGATACTCACATATTTGGGAGCAAATCTAGATTTAAATCCAGACTGTGCTATTTATTAGCTGTATGACTTTGGGCAAATTATTCAACCTCTCTGATCTTAGCTGCTGCATATGAAAAATGGGAAAAATAATTTCTACTTTATGAGATTAAATGAAATAATATATTAAAATGGCTGACATTTAGGATATTGTACGATATAAGGAATTTTAACGAGTGAATGAATGAATGAAGCAAGCAGGATAGGATTTTCAATAGTAAAACATCACTCATCAGTTTAACACAAGTAAAAGGCCAGAGTCATGCTCATAAATAAAGCTGAGACTCAGAGTAGAAAAATATGTGAATTATGGGAAAAATCCCACAACAACAGGAAGTGTATGTTACTCAAATGTCACCTCTGACTTCCCACTCTAAAATTATCTTTTGCTTAACCTAGAACCTAAGTATGGCCTTCAAAAGGTCTACAAAATTGAAAGTATAGACAACATTTTCTAACCTTTTTATAGATTCATATATGAGCTTCCAAATATTCCATAACCCTCTCGCCTACTCCCAAGCACACACACACTCACACATATATGCTTGTGCACGCCCACAGACACACACAACACACACACACACACACACACACACACACACAAGGAACAATGGTATTAGGCAAATACCTTTACAGAAAGGGTAAACTGTCAACTGAGCAAGAAATAATGACTTCCAATTCAGAGAGAGGGGAGCTGAATTCAAGACCAGACTTGGGGGCAAACTTGCTATGGGACTGAGGGCAAAACAGAAATTCATGAAAACCAGAGCTGGGGGAACTTTGTTCTCAGCTATTCTACCCTCCTCCTTCTCCCATCTCATTCATGGAGAAAGTAAGGTTCAAAGGAAGATCATCCTTCACCAAAGTCATATCCAATAAATTATATACAGAATTTGAACTTCACACTCAATGAAATGATTTCCACAGTCTGTATCTTAGTATTAGGAGGACCACGATTAGTGTTTATATCCAGAGGCTTCTACATTATCTTCTAATTAATAGATAATTACTATTCTCTTCTCTGGACCTAGAAATGTCATGAAAACATGAGTTTGGTTTTGGCAACGTTCATTCCAGCTGCTTCTCAGTCCCAGCCCAGTCCCACAAGAGTAAGGCAGAGAGAAAGCCCGAAAGTGAGAGATGCTGTTATTAATCTTGTGTAGCACGGCAACTGGGAATTGCAGGCCTTGAGCTATATTTCTCTCTGTTGGCTATTATTCTCCTGTTCTCTTGATTATTATTCCTTCATCTGTCTTCTCTTTATTGATGTTCCCAACTATGCACAGCAAACAGTCAGCTAAGTGCTCATCCTCAGCTTCCTATCATTCGTTGGATCAGAAAACAGGTGGAGGAAAGAGATCAGGTTATGGAGTAGAGAAACATGGGGAAAGATGATTTATTTTTATTTTTCTAACCAGGAACTTGATGTTACTGGAGGTAGTGGATGGCCAACACATAAATGCCCAATCAATTCAAATGTATAATTACAAGCTCTTTTAGTATGTAAAAGATTCAAAAGCTATATAGAAAAATAACTACTTTCACACAGGGTCTCTTGTAGAGTCATAGAATTTTCCTATGACTTTGGAAAAGTAGCAGCAGAAGGGAGAAAGAAGGGGCTAGGAAGTAACATCACAGATAATAAGACATTTGACTAGAAGCAATGCCTTTATCAACTGGTCCTACTCCATCTGTTGTGAGATGTTGAAATGGGTCCTAGAGAGAAAAAGTGACTTGCCTGAGGGACATGGCCTGAGCTGGGATTAGAATTCGATTCTCATGACTTCTGGTTCACATACCATAACATAAAACATACTGCTTCACTACCCAGAACAATGTTATCGTATCCAGGTAACTACAAAAGATAATTTAATTTAAAACTACTGCCTCTATACCCACCTCAGAAAACAATAACTGATGAATTTGATTTAAGGCAGACTAGGGTTGTTCCATCAAATTGTAATAAACAAGTCACTTTAGCAATATAAACAAGTCCATGAAAATTAATTGGGTATTATTCATCCTTGCTAATAAATCAGACTGTGGAAAACAGGAATAATCAACGGTGTTCAGGAGGCCAGAAGCCGGTTCTTGTTCAAGTACAGATCTTGCCTATTAAAGAACATTGGGTATCAGCTCAAAATAGTAAACAGGGTATACAGTTTCAGATTCCATAAAGTGCAGCTTTAAATAGTCTTGGTTTGGAAATGGGACAGGGAACACACCACAGTCAGTGGATCAACGTTAAGAGCAGAGAAAAACAATGATTATACTCATTAAGTGGGTGCCTGTTGACACATCTACTGTCAAGTCTAATTATTTATTTAAACTGTTATTCTCTCTTCATTACTGCCACTGATACCAATTCTTACCACAAGATTATTTTAAATTCTATAGCAGGTCCCCAAGATATTTCCTTCTCCATTTTCCAAAGGTTATTTGGAAAGGTTTTATCCTCCTCTCCCCACCAGCACCGACCTCCAAAATTCAGAAGATATAAAGAGATGGATAAATGATAGATAGATAGATAGATAGATAGATGATAGATAGATAGATAGATAGATAGATAGATAGATAGATAGATAGATAGAGCAAGATAGATAGATAGGAAATCCCTCTTTCTTATGAGCAATTTTTCCAGGCTTGATTAAACCCCTATTTGTAGTTTCAATATGGGTTTCAGTGAAAAGGAGGATGGCAGTTTACCATTTTTCAAAGCTTATTCTATTAAGCTTATTCTATTAATATTTAACAATTAGCACTTGGAGAAAAGTTAATATAATGTTTGCAGTTTCTAAATGAGTAAGTTAGATCTCTAACAGAGCTATCAAAATCTATTATTACATGTCTACAGCCATTCTTTTTTGATATATTTATCCATGAAAATACATGAAATACATGAGAAAGGAGAGTTTTTCAGGGGTATTTTATGGACTATAGAAGGATTGAATGATGGGCAGGAGCCATTCTTGTATTTTTAGCCACTACCATTTCTTGTAACCCTCTCTTTGCAGTCATGAGAATAAAATTTAACTAACACAAGTGGCTGCTACATCTGATCTAATTATAGAGGAGTTTAGCCACCCATATACCACCCGCCTTATTTGCACATGACATGTTTTTTATTCAATTTTATGGTGAATATTAGCTTTGAAAATCATATTAATGTAAAACCATAATTTCCACTTAATTCTAAATCACTAACTCCTACAAATATGGAGCCATGTTGATAAACTTCAATTCTTTTCAATGTCTATGTAACTAAAGTCATGTTACAAGTTCAAGATCATATAAGATCATGAAAATAACATAACAAAGAAATAAAAATATTAAGCAGAAGCATTTACATTATTTTTATGTTGATATCAGATCTTCCAAAAAGATGCTAGGATACCAATCCTACAGTTAGGAATACCATATTAACTACTGCCCCTCTTTTTGCCTAAGACTTCTAAATGATGTCATAGAACTTGGCAGAGAGAACCTGGAAGTGCAGATATCAGCTAGTTTAGAGGTAGGAAAATATTCACATTCTGAAACTTTTACAACTACCATGCTTCTTTCAATTTTTTTTTATTTTTTTTTTTTTGGAATCCATTTTCTGGACAAACTTGAGAAGAATGTATTCTTCAGGGAAAGGCCAATCTCCTTCACACAGGTCCTTTAAGAGAGTACCATGCAGATATTATGGGTCCTGGATTTCAAGACTCTAACTCATTTTATTATTCCTAGGAATTATGGTTGTTGTAACCTTGGATTATATATTTTTGAGATGTTTTGGGGAGCAGATAAGAGATGGTGATGGACCTAAATAGTAAAGTTTGGTCCTTTTAGAGCCAAATAAAACTGGCAGCAAAATGGAATGAAAAAATGCACTCAAAAAAGGGGCCAGGAGCCTGGCTGGCATGGCTCAGTGGTTGAGCATTGACCTAAGAACCAGAAGGTCATGGTTGAATTCCTAGTCAGTGCACATGCCTAGTTTCAGGCTCTATTCCCAGTATGAGGTGTGCGGGAGACAGCTGATCAATGATTCTCTTTCATCACTGATGTTTCTCTCTCTCTCCCTTCCTCTCTCAAACAACAAAAATACATTTTTTTAAAAAAAATAGGGGCCAGGAAACTAGAGAGAAAGTCCTCCTGTCACATGGTATTGAAGCATACAAGATGACAATAGATAAGAACATTCTAGTACATAGCATATTATAAACACTTAAATACTCATTAAATCAAAATTTTCTGCATGGCCCAGATTTTTGAGCTTTTGGTATTAAACCTTAAGGAGTAAGAATGGAAAGGGGAAATTAAGTCAAGGAGACATAAAAGGAGGGCAGTTCATTGTCTTGATCATTCTTCAGTTTGGGTGCTCATGAAAGACCTTTGTGTTTCTTCTGTTGGGAGTGAAATCAACTTTAAACATTATTGCCTACGATGCCTATTAGCATTTCATAAGCACGAAGCCAATCCTCTCTTACCTCGTAGGATGGTCAGTGGACACAAGCTTCAGCAAACTTCAACACTAGTCTGTAAATGAAAGATTGGGTAAAAATTACTCTTAGGTACTAAGCCATATTTATTTCTAAATAATCATAAACTCTTATATCTACATAGTGGTTTCTTGTTTTGCAAAACATTTTCACATTCGTATTCACATTTCACCCCACACCAACCTGATAAAGAAGCAGGAAGAGATTATTCTACTGACTTCATAGGTGGGGAAACAAAAGCTCACTGAGGGATAGAGAAGATGAGAAGGGAACCAACATCTCTCTCACAATAAACTGCACAAATACCATGTGAAGTGGGTATTATTGTCTTCATTTTATAGATGTGGAAACTGAGTTCAGGAAAGGTAAGTAACTTGCCAAAACTACATAGTACAGTATAGGGCAGGGTATGATTTTGGACCCTCTGGTCTAGTGGTCTTTTTCCTTATACCTCAGTTTCTCCTAATAAATGAGGTTGGGAAAACACAGACTTAACAGCTCATTGACTTGATCTACTAGATTGGTGAAAGGGGGAATAATAAGATAAAACTAACTATTTGACTGACATGAGGAAGTAGGACACACACACACACATGGGATTTAGAGCTAGTCAAACTTGTCTTCCTCTCACCAATGGCCTTAGGCAAGTTACTATCTGAGTGTCAATTTCCTTATATGTAAATGAAGATTATAATATCTGCTTTATAGCCAAAGCTCACTTAAACATTATTTGGAAAATTTTCCTCCATTATTTCATAACAATATATATGGACAGTGGTGATACACACAACTATAATATTTCTTTCTATGAGCCTGTTTTTATGATGAAACAATGATGCTATAAGCGTGATGCTAGAAAATAGCTTTGGGCTGGGTATTCTGTGCCCCTAAAATACTGCAATATTTATCTATGTCAATCTCGCATAGCCTCACCTAACAACAACACAAAGAACTTCTGTTCTAAAAGGCAAAGCCTCAAAATAAAAAATCAAGTGGCTCCTCAGCCCCTAAACTAAGTCAAAGACTGCAGGCATATCTCAAGTCCTTTTAAAGTTTGTGCTTATACAGTGCCTTAGGTTCAGAGAGATGGTGCTTCTAATAAGACTGCAATGAAAGCAGTTGCTTTAATACAATGGATAGATTTACTGAGAATTATAAGACCTCTAGGAAGTTTTTGTAATATATCCCATTTTCATATAAGACTCAAATCAGATTAAGAACAGAACATGGGCCTGGCCAGTGTCTCTCAGTGGTTGAGCATTGGCCTATGCACCAGGAGGTCACTGGTCAGGGCATATGCCCAGGCTGCAGGCTCCATCCCCGGCATGGGACATGCAGGAGGCAGCTGATAGGTGTTGATGTTTCTCTTTCTTAGATGTTTCTATCTCTCCCTCTCTTCCTCTCTCCCTAAAATTCAATAAACATTTTTATTTTTAAAAGAAAGAATAGAACATGATAGATAAGATGCACTACAAAAACTTCTTGTCATATGCCACCAAAATCAAAACATTAATCATGTGGAAAATATTGCATGACTGTTTTTGTTTTTCTTAATGATTTTTAAATTAATTTTTAGAGAAAGAGGAAGGGAGAGGGAGGGAGGGACGGGGAGAGAGAGAGAGAGAGAGGGATTTCAATGTGAAAGGGAGACATTGATCAATTGCCTCCTGCATGTCCCCTATAGGGGACAGAGACTGCAACCTGGGTATGTGCATCAACCAGGAATCGAACTAGCAACCCATCCATGCATAGGATGATGCCCAACCAACCAAGCCCCACCTGCCAGGGTCTGCATGACTGTCTAATCTCAAATAATTGTCATTATAACCCCAATTTTACCAACAAGGAAACCAAATATCAATGATTGCATGGTTAATATGAAACAGATACAAAAATAACCATGTGCCTTGACACGGAAACCAGTAAAGACTCTCCCACTCACAATGCAGCCTCCCATTCGGGAGTGCTCTACTTGTAGGGAAAGGGAAAATGAGTCTCTACCATAGAAAAGTCAATTGTCAAGGCACCAAAACACATTCAGTACTGAGTCCTGCTTCACTGGCAAGTGAAAGGAGAGAGAAAACTTCACATCTGTGGTCTAACCCGAAGGTAACACATTACTGAACTGATGCAGAAGGAGTGTTAGATGCAAGGTTACAATGAACACTTTCTCAGCTCTTGCCAGTGAGGTTTCAAAGATGCAACATCCTTGAGCAAGCTCTCAAAACACAAGCCACAGAAACAACAGAAGTTGACACCATGAAATTTTCAATAAAAGGGACTTCATCAGTAAGTCTCAAGCAGTAGAAAAGCTGAAGCCTTCCAGCTAAGAAGGCTTCACCAGCCCTCATCACATTATTTTAGTATCATGTACCCTCAGGAATTCTTGTTTCCTGATGCAATGGAGTTCTCCACTAGACCCAGAAAGTGATCTGGGACAACTGACAAATCCCATTCTAGCATCTTGGTAATGAGGCCAGTATCCTTTGCTGCCTCTGTGTATTTCATGACTGCTGAACCAGAACCTGGCATGTCTGCATCCTTTGTCAAACCACCCATCCTTTTCCAAGAAAACATGTTCTCATCTCCAAAAGCAATTTCAAGCAAAAAAAGAACCTGTACAATCAATCTCTAACTTACAAAACTTCAACTTATTAATTAGAATTATGCAAAAGCATAACTCACCAAACCTAGTTGGGACTAATATCAAATAATTGATCATTTCTACTACATTTTGGGGAAAATAGGAGGGAATAAATAAAACCAGAGGGGACATGAGAGTGGAAAGAACAAGGATGGAGAATAAAGGGAGAAAAAAGCAGAAAAGAATAGAAGAACATGAGAAAAGAAAAGCACAGAAAGACCTGTTTCAACAAGTTTTTCATAAACCATGATATCTCTTGAATAGACCACTGTATCCTAGGTAATTTTTAATCAATGTTACTCTAGGATGATGATTCTAACATTACGAACAAAAATTCCAACCAATTGGAACTAGATTTGCTGAGACCAATGTAAAGGTACCTCTTAATACTTGCTACTTTATGAGTGCTATATTTCCAATATGAAATATGAGAGAACCTTTAAAACTCCCACTAATCCCAAAAATAGATAGCTCCTCAGCAGTGTGGTCTCAGATGTTCTTTCTGAATAGGGGATGTTATCTTGAAAACAACACTTGCATGAAGATTGAGGACCTGAGTTCTGCTCTTAGCCCTATAATTCCCAAATATTTTTAATTAAAAGTTGCATAAAACATATATTTTTCTGTTTATCTTTTCACAGGTCTTGACCATGGTTATCCCTAAACCACTGTGAAAAGGCCAGAAATTATTTTGTCTAGACTCTGTGCATTTTGGTAAGTTTTATGTGGTTGTAAAGGTGGTGGTGAAAGGATGACTTATACAAAGACTTGTTAATTAAACAATGTCATAATCTTAAATATGATTATTAGGACATCTGTCCCCAAGAGCAATTGAAATGCTAGATTAGGACAAAGGCATTAGATGACAAACATGGAATGTCATCTACTGCCATCATCAAACCCTCTATGAAGAATATATTCAAATGTACTCTCTCACCCGCCACCCTCAGATAATTATCATGAATACGACATATTCCATGGCTTATGAATGATTTGGTTGTCTCATTAAAGTAATGTTTGCCAGTATTTAATTGCTTCCCTACCTAATTTTAATTTCCTCACCTGTCAGCATCTATCAGAGGCACTGAGATCTTCTGACATCCTCGCTGATTGTGTTGAAATTAATCAGATTTTTGAAACGTAAATTGCTTTGGTCTAAAGGTAATGCTCAACTTCTTCATGTGATATTAATAAGGATACTATCAAAAGAACTTATAATCTGGAAATTAAGTAAGAGGTTTGGGAAATCCTAAACAAAAATGTCAGTAGTACCTTAAAAAACAAATAATTCAACAAGTGCTATTGAACATACAGCACTCGCCAGCAATCACTTAGGGGTAAACAGAAGAGAGGAAACATGAAGCTACCTTAGAAAGTTTGGAGAAACAGGTAAAAAATAATTAATTAAGCTGAATTTACCTGGACTTAAGTAGCTGACAATCTGGTCACTCAAAAGGTACATAATGTATTACCAATTGTGACTAGTTATACACATTATGTTCTCACACAGATTAATGATTTTACTCCCACCTCAATCTAGTAAGGTAAATTCGGTGTTATTGTTAGTAATAGTAGCAATATTCCCATTTGATAAGTGACAAGCTGACGAAAAGAGTGGTAAAAAGACTCTTCCCTAGACACCTGTTTTGGGGATCTAAATAAATTCAGAAAACACAGCATGATTACTTTGGAATAAAGAGAGAAAAATTATTTGCAAATCCTTCATACATAATTATTCAGTGCTAATTCTTGTGCTAATATGTATCAGTAAGAGTGCTTAAAACACTCAGGAAACCAAAAAGCACTAAACTGTTCTATAAGAAGTAAATGAAATAATGCATAAAAAGGACTTTGTAATGTGTCCTAACATCATGAGATCATTTTATGTATATACATATTATTATTCCTACTTTGGAATATGGATATATGCATTCATGCAGTAATCACATCCCAAAAGTGAGTCTATAATATCATCACACCTGTTTTTCAGTTATTCTGTTGATTTAAGGCCCTAAACTAAACAGAAAAATAAAAAATGCTGCATGCATGCAACTGTGGGGAGGTTGGGGCAGCAAAGGTAACACATGGAACTTTAGAACCTAGAGGTCAATTTTCACAAAAATGACTTCATAATCAAATGTAACCAAGCTCAGTACAGGTCTTATTTTTCTAGTGGACTCTAAGACCCTACTTAACATTTAAGCATCCCCCCCTGCTGTGAAGGTTTTCCGGATCCAAAAAGATTTGGTGAAGCTGTCTTATAGAAAACTATCACAATGCCTTGTTCCATATCTAGATCACTAAAATTACCACACTGTGTTATCACTTTTATTTGTTTGTATGTTGAAGAGAGAAACCTTGTCTAACTCAGTTTCTTAAATCCAAACCCAAAA